GGAGGGGAGAGGGGGACGGGACAGGCATGGCTAACAAATCCGGCGTGGTCTATTCCCACACCTCCAAGGACAGCAGCCGCCAACACTCTCACATCACAGGTCCGATTGTTCTTTTGTCGTTTTGTGGGGTTTCTTTTTTGGGAAATGTCGTGGACGTTCAATGAGGTTTGTCGGGGTCTTTTTGGGGTTTAGGGAAAAGTGCAAAGGGTGCGGTCGCGGCTAGGAGACGGACCCGTGGTGCGAGTGGTTGTGGTAGGCTTTGGGTATTGTACGTCTAGTGGTCGTCTCATTCGGTCGTTCGGGTTTGTTGTGGACGGCGACCTGGTTTCCTTTTTGGGTGATGAGAAATGGTTTGGGGACGGGCGGAAAATGGGCAGCGGGGGGTCATGAAAGTTGTGACGACTCAATCCTTTTCCAGTTCCCGGTTCGCTTTGTTGGTTTGGGTGCAAAGCAAAATGGAGAGCGGGGGGTCATCAAAAAATAAATCGAAAAAAAATCGAATCGAATCGATYGACGGTCGGGCATCAAAAAWTTTCTTYRTTTTTATTGGACTCATCCTAATGCACCTGGTCGAAATACCGTCTACATGCATGTAGTATATTGTGTACTGAGGGAGCTGCCTGGCATGGTCATCCCCGCAGCCCCCGAGGCTACAATCTCCTACCCCCTGGCTGCGCCCCCGCGGCCCGCGCGGTCACAGTGGTTTGCATGTCGTCGTTTCGTGTCCTTTCCATTTTGGGTAATGTCGTGCAGTACAGCGTTGCTAGGATGGGTCCGTTTGGGGTTTCCGAAAGCAGAAAAAGGGTCCGGTCGCAGTCGTCCCTAAGACCGGTCATAGGGCAGGTTAGCTTGTCCAGGTCGCTCGAAAATCAGCATAAGGCGCCGTCCACAGTTTCCCTTTTGAGGGGTGGCGTTTTTTCCCGTTTCAAAATAGGGGCGGGCGATTGATATATTCCAATTACAAATATGAAAAGAGGCCGGGAACCTCACAATTCAACCCGGTGTTATCCCGACAGCTTCAGCCGGTTTAGCTTGTGCGTAACAACTTCTAACAGGGAACAGGGACTAACTATCCAAGAGTCTTCAACAGAAAGAACCCCCGAGGAAGAGACAGGAGGGGGAAGAGACTGGGTGGTGGGGAGAGTAAAAGACGAAGTGAGTCGATACAAGAAGCGTAACTGAGTGGAGGGATGTGTGGAGTGTTGAGTCAGGACCGGAGGGGATGAAAATGAGGAGGACGTAAACTAAGGAGGTGCGAAGAAAGAGAAGGGAAAGTCACAGGCCTAAAACGGCCTGTTCCGGGCCCAAAACGGCCCGGGGACCTGGACCTCCAGTGTCCATCCTATGTCTAGCCACTCTCATCACCTTGGCCTCCAACGACCCTGAGACATCAGAGTGGTCCTGGATGCAGCTACAAGACTACCTGTCCTACTAATAGCCTAGGAGAAGGGGGAGGGGAGAAAAGATATGAGGAAAGAGGAAAGGAACGAAGTAGGATGCCTAACACTATATGGTGGCGGCTCAGCCTGCTGCGTCCAGCCATGGGGACAAAACCATCCTTCCTTCCACAGTAACAGCTGCAAGTTTGTTATCCATGGCCCAGGTTACCAAAAACCATCTGGTACCTCTGGGAGATGTTCCCTTCCCTGCCCTTGCCCAGTCGACGATCAGAAGTCAGGTCAAAGCCTTGATCTTCCTCTGTATTGCGATGTCTGAAGTCCATTTCTGCTCGAAAAGGATGCTGTTCCTGTCCGTCCAGATTACCCATAGAATAACCGATCTGATTGCCTGAGCTACATAGCCTCTCCCTGTTCTCTTGAACCAGTGCGACGGAATCTGTCCTCCCATCACCCAGGCCTCGTCCCATTGGAGTGCAGTTCCCACGAAATGATACCAGCGATCAGCCCACCATCTCCAGATCCGATTCAAGGCAGGACAGGACCAGGTGAGGTGCCTCAAAGACTCCTCCGCCCTTCCACCACACCTTAGACATTTGGTGGACAATTCCATCCCTCGTTCAAAAAGCCAGACAGCACAGGGGACGCTGGTATACGTGAGGAGCCAGAGGAAAGAGGCGAGCTTCAGGGAGGGGAGCATATAGAGCTGGGTCCAAATTTCCCGCAGGTCGAGTTCCTCCAGGAGTGTTGGGTCTGCTGTGGCCATTGCCAGCCTTCGAGTTGTCTCCACAACTGTCATTGATGGTTTAGCCAGGATCTTTCTGCCCAACTCTGTAGTGAAATCGCAAAGAGGTATGGGTACTCCGGCATTTGTACTTCCCACTGGTGCAAGCGGGTCCAACCTTATGCTAACAAATGGCTTCCCCGCTTGAAGGAGGTCATGTATTTGGCTGCCGTTGATGTTAAAGCTTGAGCGGTTACCAGTTCTAATGGGATCTCCTGATGCAGACAGACCTGTTTAACATAGTGAAGTCTCTGCTTTGGTTTGGTGGCGGCCTGTTCCACGGGGGTCCATTCCTGAGCACAGATGTATTCCTCCGTTAACACACCCTCAAAAAGGAAAATTCTGGTCTGCATGTGTGATATCTCCCTGGACTGCTTCTGAATATACCATTGTCCCTCCTTCGGAGTATCATCTCTCAGAAGATCTTACCAGTCCTGTGGCACCGCTTCGATGAGCCTTCTTCGTCTCTGCTCGACGTGGTGAAGCCTACCCAGAGCATCCCTTAGAGCCTCCTCAGAAATCCATCTATTTTCCTCCTGATCCCAGAGATCGGCTATGGTGACTCCCTTTTCAATCCACTTGCGCCCCAAGGCTCCCCTAGAAGCCGTGGCCTGAAAAGGCCTGTCTTCCTCACTGACCAGGTATCGGTTATCAAAGAGGGGCTGCTGCAGGACCTCTTCTCTTGTCACTGGTTCCTTCCTGTGCTGAGAGTAGAAGGCTCTCCACGCAGTCCAGCAGGATCTCAGCAAACGTGACACCGACTGTCTTCTTACGCAGGACTCCATCCACAGGCAGGTCCACACGTGTCGGGGATCTTTAAGATGAGATTCCACTTGCGCTAGGTACTCGAAAACCGCAAGCCACTTTCTGTCCTCCTGCTGGGTGCAGGCTCTCACAAACCATTTGAAGAGATGAGCCAGATTCTGCGTTGCTGGGTCAATGCCTAGCCCCCCTTGGTCCTTCGATTGAGTGATCCTGTTCCAGGCACATTTTGTAATGTAGCCTTCATCCTCTTCTGCACGTGGCTTCCACAGATATCGGGCCGCGTCCCGCTTCAGGAGTGTGATGGTAGGTCTGGTAATAAGGTAGACAGCAGCAATATACCAGATTTGAGCGAAGACTGCTGCAGTCAAGACTAGCGCCCTGCCGATAAG